TAGTGACAGATGTAGCTTACAAATAAAAACATACATTTCTGACATTTTAATAGAGACAAGAACATGCTATTTAAACAACTTAACCAGATCCCTGTAGCTTGAAACTTTCAGGCTGCTTTTCCAGATGTCAACAAAATAACTCTAATATCACACATCAAGGCACCAAATCTATGTATACACATCCAATTTTAGGGAACCTATTAGCAGGGGTGAATTCAGGGGCATTGAAGGAGTACTAGTAAGGAAGTGTAAATGTTTGTGGGTTTGGGGTCTCCATCCTTCTTTGCTACGACAAACAGTCAAAAACTATTTTCCTCTTATTTCAAAGACTTGACAGAATCTCAATCGAAAACTTACATTGATGTGGTTACATGGAAGTGATGTCTCAGCAAATCTGTATTTTCTGTCTGATGGACGATAGGGTGCTGAACTGCTGAAACTCCTACATCACCTTCCTATCATCTAATAAGTGCTATATTCTGCGGTTAAATTTCAGATTGACACAGAATCTTTGTGATTTTCTTAGGAGATACTTTTCTGTATTTAGATCCATATAACATACCTGGCTGCTGCCTCTTTCTTCCCATCTTCTAGTGTTCTCCAGTGAATATGATCCCCGAAACCTGCCAGAGAATAGAGTTTATAAATGTTGCATAATAAAACATGTCAACAGCAAATGAAAACAGGCTAACCTCTAAGGTTTCAACTCATTTTATATTCTCTTCTTTTTAAAAACCAACTATAATCCTAGTCCCAGGGAAAAATGGAAATAAATGACTGGAAAGTCTTGCAGAAACAAATACAACCTACAGAGTTTTAGGAGGAATCCCACTGAAATTAATTAAGAAAAGGAAACCATGCACATATGAATATTTACACATATGCAAATGACAACAAAATCTCTGAAAGAGAGATTAAAGTGCTTTGTGATTATTCCCCACTCCTTCTCAATCTGTGAACATTTATTAACTGATTAGGGACAAATTAAAAATGTTCCCGTTCGGCTTCCTAAATCCTACTGAATGTGACCTAATGCAAAAGTTAAAGCAGAGAGGTTCATAAATGCTTATTAATTGTTCTAGAAATACTACACTAAATATGACAGCTGTTGATAATTACGGCAAAATAGTAAAAAAAGGAGCCCCACTGCAGCTTTCTAAACGTTACAGACCCTGAAAAACACAGGTAACATTTTATTCAGTAACTGGATAGTCTGTAACTGGAGACTCAGTCTTGCTGTGGCAGCTGAGGTAGGATTGAATGAACGTACATTTAACATCTGCAAAGCAGAGAGCACCACCTTTTCCTTTACCCTACAAGCTGATATCAGTGTGTGGCCAAGAGCCATGCGGAGAACTGGGGCTTGGAAGACTGCACATCGGCCAGGAGCTGATGGCAGGGAAGGCAGAGGACTTGCGTCCTCATAGGCACTACTATGAACATGAGTGATGCAACATGTCAAATATTTAGTTTTCCCAACAGGGAGGTGGGTAGGTCCTGTTCCTGTCCCATCCAGAGTTAGCTCCGGAAACGAACCTCCCTTCTAAGTGTCTGGATAAAACGGCGAAGCGAATAAAGGTCGGGTTGTGAGCAGGACTCATGTTTACCTAGAGTACTGCCACATCAACTCTTTCAACAGCCCAACCAGCAAAGGCTTTTTAGAAGTTATTCTTTCAGTTAAAGAAAAATCACTCTGTGGTGAGCTTCAGGATGCTTTTAAAGGCATTAAATAACATATCAGTGAAAGAGGAAATGCCCCATGAAATCACACCTTGCCCACTTGACCATGCGGGGCTCCCCACGCTCGACCCTGGATCGACCCGTGCTCCCGCCATGGACCAGCTCTGCCGGGGACCCCCCTCGCGCTGAAGGCGACACCAACGCGGGGTGAGAGCGCGAAGCCATGAGAGGGAGCGGCGCCCTGCGGCG